ACCATATGATCCTCTAAATCCCTTTACCTTCCCCCTTTATATTCATGTCATCTTATGTATTACATCTGTATACATTGAAAACCTCATCAGTCGATAATTTGCTTTTTGTTTTTAACCATCAAACATACTTTAAAGAACTTAAGAGAAGAATTGCTTCTATATTTGTGTAGATACTTATTGTTTCTGTTACTTTCCCTTCATTCCTAATGTTCCAGGATCATTCTGTTTCTGTTTCCCATGTGTATGAAGAATTTCTTTTAGCAGTTCTTCTAGAGCAGATCTGCTGGTGACTAATCCTTATTAGTTTTCCTTAATCTGGGAATGTCTTGATATTCCCTTCATTTCTAAAGGCTAATTTTACTGGTTATAGGATTCTAGGTAGACAGCTCTTTTACCACTTGAAAAATGTTGTGCCGCTTCCTGCTGGCCTCCCTGGAAATCTGCCGTCTTCAAATTGTTTTTCCCTTATCTTTAATGTATTGTTTTTATCTAGCTCTTTTTAAGATTTCTTCTTTGTCTCCAGCTTTCCAAGGTTTAATATACTGTGTCTTGGTGTGAATTTCTTTGGGTTTATCCCTATTTGGGGTTGCTCAGCTTCTTGAATTCTTGTACTTGTCTTTGCCAAATTAGATGATTTTCTATTTCTTTGAATACTTTTTACAGTCTCATACTTTTTCTCTTATTCTTCAGAAACTCTAAAGAGGAATGATAGATCTTTTGTTATGGTCCCATAGGTTCCTGAGTCTTGTTTACTTTTTTTTTTAAGTCTGTTTTCCCTCTGTTGTTCATATTTAGTAATTTCTATTGTTCTATTTAGTAATTTCTATTGTTCTATCTTCAAATTTACTGATTCTTTCCTTTGTCCTCCATTCTGCCATGGAGTCAGGCCATCCATTCAGGTTTTTTTTTCACTTCAGTTATATTTTTTTCAATTCCAAATTTTTAATTTATTTCTTCTTTTATGTCTTCTATTTATTTACTGAGATATTCTTTTTTGTTGTTGTTGATTTAAACATGTTCATAAATTCTCCTTGAAGCACTTTTATGATGGCAACTCTGAAATTCTTGTCAGTAGTTCTGACATTTATATCTGTTGATTTTGTTTTCTTATTCAAATTGGTATTTTAGTAGTTCTTGGGATGATAAGTGATTTTTTTATTGAAACCTGGGCATTTTGGGTATTATGTTAAGAGACTCTGGATCTTATTTAAATCTCCTGTTTAGCAGACTTTTGTGACACTGCTCCAGTGGGGATAGGGTGCTGTCTCATTACTGTAGGTGGGGATAAAAGTCCAGGTTCTTACCTCAGCATCCATTGATTCATAGGGAATCCATTGATTCAGGTTCCTTAGTAGGATAAAAGACAGGCTATGGACTGGGAGAAAATATTTGCAAATCATATACCCAGCAAAGGCCTCTATCTAGAATATATACAAAGAACTCCCAAAACTCAACAGCAGAAAAAAAAAGATAAGCTAAATATAACATGTACAAGAGATACAAGCAGATAATTTCATCAGAGAGGATATATGGATGGCAAATAAGCACATCATTCAACATTATTGTCTAGGGGAAACACAAATTAAAACCACAATGTATAGTATATCACTATATCCCTATTAAAATAGCGTCACAATAAAAAAAAGGTAGTGAGATATCAAATATTGGTGAGGATGCAGAGGAACTGGATCACTCATACTTAACTGGTGGAATAAAAAGTGGTACAGCTACTCTGAGAGAGTATGGCAGTTTCTTAGAAAGTTCAGTGTAGACTTACCACATGACTTAGCAGTTACACTCTTGGGCATTTATCCCAGAGAAATGAAAACTTATGACCATCTGTATGAAAATGCTCATAACATCTTTATTTATAATAGCTCAAAACTAGAAACAACCAAAATGTCCTTCAGGGATGAATAGCTGAATAAATTCTGGTGCATCCATGGAATAGTACTCAGCAATAAAATGAGATGAGCTTTTGATACATGTATCATCCTTGATAAATCTCAAGGGCATTATGCTGAGTGAAAAAAAAACCAATCTAAAAAGTTTACATACTATGATTCCATGTATATAATAGTCTCAAAATGATTAAACTATGGAGATCAAGAACAGATTAGTGATTGCTAGGCAACAGGGACTAGGTTGGGACCAAGTGGTATGGGAAGGAATATAAAGAGGTGGCACAAAGGTGTTCTCTGGTGATGGGATAGTTCTATATCTTGATTGCGATGATGGTTACATGGATCTAAACATGGGATAAAATTACATAGAACCATATAGAAGACAAATAAAAAGCACACACACATGAATACACATTTAAAAATGGTGAAAACTGAATGAGTTCTGTAGTCTAGTTAACAGTAATGTGCCAAAGTACATTTTTGGCTTTGATAATGAACCACAGCTACATAAGATGTCATCATTAGGAGATTCTGGGTGAAGGGTTATGAATGTCTTTTTTTAAAACTACTTCTGCAACTTCCTGTTAGCCTATAATTATTTCAAAATAAAAAGTTTTTTTTTAATTAGCATTTGAGATGGTTTAAGTCTAGTTCTGCTGAAGGCAGAGTATTAGAGAAAACCAATATTTGCCACCCCTCAGCCCCAAAATATCACAAGGTCAATGAAACCCACATATATATAACTAATAAAAACATCTACATATAATATAATCCTTCCTGTTTCTTTGGTATTTTTCCTTTTCTTTTTGAAATTTTATGGGAAAATTGACAGTAATCAATGGTTATTATTACAGGTAGTGCTTTGTTCTTAGCACTGTGCTAACTGCCCTTTCCCTGCCAGTAAAAACACAGGAAAGATGACATTGACTTTCTTTACATACTTACATGGATGCTCCCAAGTTTGACCAAACTCAAACACATTTTCAAGAAAGTAAAATTGCACAATTTTCTTGATGATGCATTACTTTCAGCCACAACTCACTCTAGCTGTGGTAAAGATATAATGGGCTGTGAGTTGTGAGAATTACATGCTATCTGTAACTATCACTTTTTCTCCCACTCAAAAAAAGTGTATTACAGTATAAGTGAGGGGATTTGGCCTTATATGGAAAACCTGGAATCTGTTCAAATTTATTTAAATACTTGTGCCATACTTTTTGAGTGTAGCTGATTTAAGCAGTGCATTTGAGAGCATCCATTTTAGAGTGCAAAAGTAATGAAATAATGTTGTCCCTGCTATATAAGCTGCTGATATGGCTGTGGTATACTGGAAAAAATTCTGTTTTAAGGCAGACCTGGATTTTAATTCTAGTTCTGCTGCTTACCAGACAAGTCATTAAACCTCATGGAACTTGAGTTTTCTCAATTATAGGGGTAGTACCCATTTCACAGAATTGTTATTTCATTCAGCTCTCACCTTTGTGAAAGCTACCTAGCACCATATCTGACTCATAATAGCTTTTGTTTACAAAACATTTGTTTTACCACAAAAGGTTTCTGCTTTGGAAAGGAGTTATCCATATACATGCAACTACAGTCAAAGTGAATGATAAATATATAATAAAAAATTATAAATACTGAGGTATAAATTGTAAAAAAGAGGAGTTAAAAAATGGAACGTGCCCAAAGGGCTGCAGGTTTCAAAGAAGGCATCATGATGGGAATGAGATTCAAAGTGAGTTTTGAAGAACAGAGAAGTAGAGAGGTAAATCGGGCAGGGAGACCATTTCAAGTAGAAGCAAGAGCCTGAGGGTATATGGTTATATGGGAATCCGAGTTGAGAAATTTATGATACTTGAAACCTGCTATTCTATTAGATTTTATTTGGAAGTTATAAATCTTAAAGTTTTAAGGAAAGTATTCCATAGTGTTACATTCTTAAGAGTTTTCCAACATCTGCTGTGTATTTTAATGATATTGTTGAATACTGTAGCACCTGCTTGGTTGCTAAGGCACTTGTATCTTACTTTGAAATCTTGATTGGTAAGATTTACGTAGCTCCTGTCAGTTGTAGCTAAAGTTAAGCTTGTTGACAATAAATTCTTTATGTTCAAGAATGATGAATGACATAATAATGGAACATTAACAAGAACTGGGATTTCAGTATCTTTGTTAAGCCCTACAGAATTTTTTCACATGTTATGCATGTATATGAATTTAATTTCTTCAAAGAAAACTGGCAGTCTTACCAACTTCTTGTTCCTAAATGATGGTTGGTGTTTTTGATACTATAACTTTTCAGGAAATGTGAAATGTGAAATTTGAGTGATTGACTAATTTCTCTTGAATATATGAAAGCATTATACCCCTCATTTTTTTTGGTATATTCTCATGGAGAAATAGGTTGGTTTTTGAAAACTTAGTTTGGTATTCTTTGGGTTGTTTGTATGGTATTGGAGTAAGGGAATTTTTTTCTGGAGCAAATAGATCTGTCATTGTCTTCCCCAACCCCCACAGTGGTGAATCAGCCACAGATATTTGTAATTTATCAACTTTTGAGATCCTTTTCACTGTATAATTTCAGTTTTACCATTATTTTGGTGAACAAATGATTTTACTTATATTTATTGAATACCTATTATACAATGCAAAGCATTGTACTCAGTATAAGTGGGACAGAAAGAGGAATGTGATACAGACCTTCAAGGATCTAGTCAGAAAGAAAAATATACACGAGTAACTACAATACAAGGCAGTTTGCTGTAAGTGCCATGAGCACAGAGTAGGATTTTATTTAACGGAGAAAGTGTTTTGGAGTGGATGATTGGGGTGATTTCATTGGGTTAGGAGCTTTTGCCTAATGCACATAGCTTGTAAATGAATATTAACATGGCAGTTAGTATAAGGTAGAAGTCCTGAAATGACAGCTCTCCCACTGCCAAAGGTTTTATCTTTATAAATTGGGGAAATCATTTCAATACTAGTAAATGGTTAATGTCTAAACATTCTCATAAATACTAATTTAAGGTAAATATTTGTACTTTTATTAATACATAATTTGCATATGATGAGTAATTGCTGCTTTTATGTTTTTAGGCCATGAATATTGTGGTTCCCTTTATGTTTAAATATGCTGTAGACAGCCTCAACCAGATGTCGGGAAACATGCTGAACCTGAGTGATGCACCAAATACAGTTGCAACCATGGCAACGGCAGTTCTGATTGGCTGTATGTGTGATTCTTTAATCTGTCTACAGGTGTTGACTTTTTCAAGAGGGTTTCATCATATTTGAGTGTTAGACCTTTTCACCACAAACACAACTTAGCATTTTGGATGTTTGTCTTATGTGAGATTTTTTTTACTATGTGCTTTATTAAAGATACTTCATATGATATACTTTCTAAAAATTCTGTAATAACTATCTCATTTTCTAAGTTCTAGAAAACAATAACATGAAATAAGACATTACATTCATAACAGCCACTTCTTTTTTGTTGTTTGTTTTTTTTAAGTGGTTGACTGAATTTAATACTTTTTTAATTGAAGTATAGTTGATTTACAATGTGTTAGTTTCTGTTATACAGCAGAGTAATTCAGTTATACATGTATATTTCTTTTTCATATTCTCTTCCATTATAGTTTATTATAAGATATGAATATAGCTTCCTGTGCTGTACAGTAGGACCTTGTTGTTTATTCTATATATAGTAGTTTAACAACCACTGGTAATTGTTAGGCTCCTTATAAGATATCTTTTTAGTAAGGCTAGTTATTTTCTTGCTGTTATTGTTAGCTGTTAAATAGGGAATAGCTAAATAATGATATGTGTGTATTAATGCTTTATCAAATTATATTCAGTAACCATGACACAAGTCTACAATTTGTAAAAAATAGTGTATGATGCTTTGTGTCCCCATGTAGTAGAAAGGATACTTGATGAGACTCAGACTTGAGTTGGGGCATGCTTTAGTCAAGGCACTTGGATTTTTTAGGATCTCAATTTTATCATTTGTTATTTGTGGGAGTTGAATTAGATCAGAAAACCTCAACAGATACTGTACATTTATCCACAGTGAGGCTTTATGGGCTGCCATTTATTGAAAGTATTTACTTGAAAAAAAATCTTGCAACTTCTGGAATCTGGGGGGGAAATAACAAAGGTTTTCATGGTGGTGGAAAGATTGGTACTCAGTAGGTTACATGCTTTCTAGGTTTCTTTTAGTGTAAGTATTTTGTGATATATGTGTTCACTGTACATTTTCTGAGCCCTTGTTGTTTTTACATTCCAACGATTCTAATGTTTTTACACCCCATTTTTTTTCTTTTGAATGTATTGTTAGATGGTGTATCAAGAGCCGGAGCTGCCTTTTTTAATGAAGTTCGAAATGCAGTATTTGGCAAGGTAGCCCAAAATTCAATCCGAAGAATAGCCAAAAATGTCTTTCTCCATCTTCACAACCTGGATCTGGCTTTCCACCTGAGCAGACAGACAGGAGCTTTATCAAAGGCTATTGACAGAGGGACAAGGGGTATCAGTTTTGTCCTGAGTGCTTTAGTATTTAATCTTCTTCCTATCATGTTTGAGGTGACACTTGTCAGTGGTGTTTTGGTAAGTAAAACATTTCTCATAGCAAGCTTTTGTCTTACATTCTTGTTAGTAGCATTTTAGTACTTGAAGCTTTTGTAATATTGTATGTCCTTGGTTTGAAAGCAAAATTCCATGGTGCCAGAAGGATTATGTAGTTCATTTAATTATTTTGCCACAAGCTTCAAGGGACTGTGTTCAAGTCTTTATCATGTTGTTATTGTAAAGAGCTGCTGATTTCTACACATAGATCAGTCACTTAACTAGTGGTTGCAATTTTTTTGTTAGCAGATATTATGGTATATGACTTTGGACTGCTGTGCTCAGATTATCTAGGTTTCTTTCTATTCACCGTTCATAACATTTTAGGCAATTTCATATTTTACAATATGTGTATATATGTATTTTATTCCTCTTGAGGCTCATTGCACCAATTTTATTACAAGCATTTGACAATAGTATCAATGGGACAAGTGCAGTTTGGTTTCTTCCTTATAACCTAAAGTAGATCTTCTAAGGTATTTGTTTTCTCTCTCAATTTTTCATTTATACAACTTCACACCATCATATTTTTAATTAAAATCTTTGAGATTTGCTGTTCTATATTATGAACTATTTGGCAAGAACAATGACTGTTTCCATTCCTTCTTTTGCCTTCTCCAGTATTATAGATGTGGTGCCCAGTTTGCATTGGTAACCCTTGGGACACTTGGTGCATACACAGCATTCACAGTTGCCATCACACGGTGGAGGTAAGGTATTTCCCAAAGGTCAGTCAAGGTTTGGAATTTAGTTATGCTTTTATAGCAGACGTTCCATGCCTATGCAAATCTTTGTCTTACAGAACTAAATTTAGGATAGAAATGAACAAAGCAGATAATGATGCCGGTAATGCTGCCATAGACTCGCTGCTGAACTATGAAACTGTGAAGGTAATATGTTTCATTTTGCTTTTTTCTTCCTTTCACACTGCACTAAGATTTGTTCTGCCATTTAATATAATAGGTGTTGTAAGTCAGAGCTTCAGACTAGTATAGGATCTCTAGCTCTGATGAAATAATAGTACTTTATTATTTTCCTTTTGTTTAGAAATTGCCCTTTCTTTCTATCACATTTTTTGTGTAGTACCATCAGAATTTTACCTTCTGAATTAATTTATAAGTGGTGACAGTACAGTTAGCATCTTGATTCAGAGTGCACGCTAAGTTCTTGACTCTATCCTTCATAGTGCCTAACATAGTGCTTTTCATTAATTGTTTCATTTATTTGTTCATTTTTCCATTAACAAATATTACTGAATGCCTCTTGTGTGCAAAGCACCTTGCTAAGTCCTGTGATGGGAGAGGGTGGTTAAAAATAAAAGTGGTTAGTATTTAATCCTTGCCCTCTCAGAATTTGCTGACCACTGGAAGAGTTAAGTATGCAGGTGACTACACAAGAAGGCATAATGTGGTTGGAGCAATGAGAACTGTCAGCTCAGAGTCTCAGGGGATCAAGGGAAGGCTTTGTGAGGGAAGTACCATTGACAGCTTTTTTAGATCTGGGTTAAATTAACTAGACGTTCGGTAAATGTTTGTGGGATGAATTTTATGGACTTTTCAAATATAGTTCATTGTGGAAAACTACAGAAGTACCATAGTCCCATGTATTCTAAGTCAGTTTTCAAAATGTAGTACGCAGTACAAAATTGTATCTGTACATAAAGTCTCATGAAAAGTATACTAATTACTTAAGGGAATAAATTCCAATTACACTTATATGTAGTTACTATTTTTGTATATTTTGTAGTATTTTAATAATGAAAATTATGAAGCACAAAGATACGATGAATTTTTGAAGACATATGAGACTGCTTCATTGAAAAGTACCTCTACTCTGGCTATGCTGAATTTTGGTCAAAGTGCTATTTTCAGTATTGGTTTAACAGCCATTATGGTGCTCGCCAGTCAGGGAATTATGGCAGGTAAGGGAATTGTGGCAGGCAACGGATCTGTGGTTTTCACATTTGTAGATGATTTACTTAACCGTTATGAAGATTAATGAAAGGAATGTGTATATTAGTCTTAATTATAAAGCATATTCAATAAGGTGCTATAACATCTTTGGACAGTACTTTCCTTTTTGTATCAGAATATGTGTTTTTGATTGTATGATAATTTTTTTAACTTCCTTTTGTTTAACACTGCAAGTTTAGTGGTGGTTCTCTCATTGTTTGGGATTACTGTTTGTGGGCCTATAACTTGATTCTTTTGGGTGTAACTTTTTTTTTAGCATCTAATATTTCTACTTTGTCTTGTAGACCTGGAAAGCAGTGTAATTAATTTAGTGTTTAGTGCAAAGGACTAAAGTGCAAACAGTCTTTTTAAAAAATTACTGGTAACCTTTTCATCTTTCTATTATTCATTTGCAAAACATTTCAAAAGTAAATATCTGTGCCTCTTTTCTGTAACCTGCCTACTCAGTTACAATTCATTCATTCACTGTGACCTTAATACATAGTTTATCATTCCCAATCATGATAACTATTTGCTCCAATTTTTAAATATGTACTTTAAAAAATTCTATTTTGTATTACAAGGAACTTGCTAGTGTCTTAGGAAGAAAGGAGAGATTTTCAGCCTTCCATTTCTGTCCTTACTTAAACTATTCTCTTTTTCTTATATATTATATGTAGTGTATGACTGGGCTTTTCCCATTCCACTTAGCATGTATCTAGTTCACTATATTCCTAAATCATGGATTAAAATGCTTTGAAATTTGAGTAGGCCTAAAAGTTGCTGATTATGTACATTTTGAACTGTATTTCAGATTAATAGACTATAAACTTCTCTTATCTTAAACTGGAAAAGTTCATGACATCTAAAATATCCTTTTTTTTTCTTCTGCAACTTCATATTAAGGTACCCTTACCGTTGGAGATTTAGTAATGGTGAATGGACTGCTTTTTCAGCTTTCATTACCCCTTAACTTTCTGGGAACTGTATACAGAGAAACTAGACAAGCACTCATAGATATGAACACCTTGTTTACTCTACTTAAGATAGACACCCGGATTAAAGTAAGTAATCTATTTAGTACTTTTTAAAAGTCATATGAGTATCATCCCATTGATAGGATTATTCAAGGGGAATATTCTTATATCACCACATTAGCATATCAGTATCTTTTTTGTGGGAGTTAGGACTATCATGTGTATTATTAATGGGTTGTTATAGCTTTTACTTCTATGTTTAGAAACCTTAACAGTATTAGCAAAGAATACTGTACCTAGAAGCTAAATTTTGTTAAGTTCAGTTATTTGTACTTGCACTTGATTTACTTTTGCTAATAATGATATAAAATGTGATTGCCTCTCCTCACGTTTTCAACTTCCCTTTCTCCCCTGTCCACCATCTCTCTTACCCACTAAAACAAATTGATCAGAAATCAAAGCATTCAGAATTTTTCCCCTCACCAGTGAGGAGTAAGAAAAGGAAATCTTTAAAAGCATGCTTGGTACTGGTCTAACTCCACTTATAAACCTCCTCTTTCCTCATTATTTTCCTTTTTCTCTTTGTGAATTAGAAAATTATTTGCATGATGTACTCTAGGCAGTGTGTAAAGTGGCTTTTTTTTTTCTCTTCCCTGCTAGGACAAAGTGATGGCATCTCCCCTTCAGATCACACCACAAACAGCTACAGTGGCTTTTGATAATGTGCATTTTGAATACATTGAGGGGCAAAAAGTCCTTAGTGGAATATCTTTTGAAGTCCCTGCAGGAAAGAAAGTGGCCATTGTAGGAGGTAGTGGGTCAGGGTGGGTAATTTAGTTGTTTACAAAATTCTGCATTTATTGATGATTCCCAATGTAATATTTTTTATCATAATAAAATGATTACTTGTGGTTTAAAATTGGGGTTCCCTATTGCCAGTAGGAGCTATATAACCTTTCCTTGTCTCCAATTTCAGGAAAAGCACAATAGTGAGGCTGTTGTTTCGCTTCTATGAGCCTCAAAAGGGTAACATTTACCTTGCTGGTCAAAATATACAAGACGTGAGCCTGGAAAGCCTTCGGAGGGCAGTGGGAGTGGTACCTCAGGTATTTTCAAAAAAGAAAAAACCTATTTGGGGGAAGATTTATTGGGTTAGTGGATCATTTACGAGAATAATTTGAATCCATGGAGTCAATATATGCTGATGAAGTTGGAAGTGTTAGACCCTACAGGCCATATTCTGTTACCAAAAAGACAAAAAAAAAAAACCCTGAATGTAAAATCTTCATGATGGAAAGGGTTTTTTTAATCCATAGAAATATAGCATAATATAGAGGAAAGAGTCCAGACTGGAATCATACAGAACTGTATTCTAAGCCCTGCTCCATCCTTTATAAGTTCTATGGTCTTGGCCTCAGTCTCCTGTAAGATAAGGATACCATTTTTCATATAGGACAGAATTATTATGAATTATAGATAATATGTATAAAGCACCAAGTACAATGTCCATCACATAATTGTTCAGTAAATGAAAACTATTATTTTAATTTTGAACAGTTTTTGACATAATAAATTTATAAAAATTACAAGGCAGTTTGACTGCCAACTTCAAGCTGGTATACCTTATTCACCACTGTCCCCTTAGTACCAAGCACAGTGCCTGACCCATAGTGAGCATTTAACAAGTATTTGCTGAATAATGTTAGGGAGAAGCATAAGTTCAGAGTAAGATCTGAGAAGATAAGGAGATAACCTTGTAGGATGTGAGTTTTTCGTATGCTGAAAGCCAGTAGAGAGACCTGGGCATTAGTTGCAGCCTAGAATCAGAACCAAATCCCTGGAAGAACTGAAGAAAAGGATCAGACAGTGATATGTTGCTTGTAAGAGGTCCCCCAGGTGATATAGCACATACCATTCTGCCCTGTCCTTTCTTTCACTGAGAATCCCAAATTTAATGTGTATGAAATCACATAGGGCGATTATTGAAATTCCTACTCTCTTTCACACACCTTAGTTCTGATTTAGGAGGGCCGTGTGAGCCCCAGAAACCTGCATTTTTGAATGTGCCTTCTGTGTGATTCGAACAGAGATGATTTATAGACTATATGTTGAGAAGCAGTGACCTAAACCATATATCAAGTGAACTGAATTCTGGGCTGTGGCTACTTAGGGCTTAGTGTCCTCATCCATATAACTTGATTCCTGCTATTCTCTTGGACTGTATAACAATTATCCTCATCCTTTTGAAAAATAAAATACTCTTTCACTAAGGAAAAGTATACATGGTCAATAAATGAAAGAAAAGAGGCTCATCCTCATTAGAAGTCTTGGTAATTAAATCAACAAAGGGATACCATTTTTCACCTATCAGATTGGTAAAGATTCTAAAATACATAGTATCTAGTTTGGGCAAAGCTGTGTAAAATGGCCAGTCTATTTTGCTGGAAGACATATATAGCTTTCCTGATGAGCAAATTGGCAATAGGTAGCAAAAGTCTGGAAAATATTTATACCCTTTATTCCAGTAATTCTGCTTCTAGTAAGTTTTAGTAAGGAAATAAACAGAGACGTAAACAGATTTTTATATGCAAAGCTGTTCATTATGGCATTATTTATAATAACAGAAGTTGGAAACTATAAAGTCCAACGATAAGTAGATGGTTAAATTATCATAAGATAAAATATCATACAGTCATTTATAAATACCATGTTTGTAAAGAATATTGAGTGTCATGGATAGAGACTCAGATACAAAGTTTGTTTAAAAAGAGGATACCAAACAAAATGTAACATCTCAATTTTATAATATTAAATGAATACATGTTAAGAGAAAAAAAGATTGTAGAAAATACACCAACATGTTAATAGTTATTGCTGAATGGTGGGATTATTGATTATTAATTTTTATTTTATCTTATATTTGTATTTTCAAAATTTCTAGTTGACATTTGCTTAACTTTTTTCTAAATATAAAATATTTTAAAATAAGTATTTTCTCTTTGTAGAAGTTTAAGCTCATCTGGTTTAAGTACTATCTCAATACAAGAAAATTTTATATTAGTAGTAGGTATAAAAATTATTAAAATATTCTTTGAAATAATATCTGAAATTCTGGGGCTGATTATGATGTTAAAGGAGATCTTAATTGAGTATCCTGGTTAACGTGAGCTAAGAGTCATTTTATGTCATCTTACTAACTGTTGCCTTTCAACCATTGGAGACTGAAAGAAAAGTGTGAGATGGGTGCTCACTTTAAGTCAATAAGCTTTAATGTGTCATGTCAGAATAAGTTGAAATATCAAATGAATACTTGTAGTGAACTTTCTCCAGAAAAACCTATAGTACATAAATTCTTTGTTTTCTATGTTTTAAGTCCAATTTAAAAGCTGCTGAGAAACATATGAAAACATATTCAGCTTTATTCTTAATTAGGGAGATGCTGATTTAAAGAAAGAGCACATCTTACCCTTAAAAGTAGCAACAACTAACACTTATTAATATCCAGGGTTGTTGAAGATATGAGGACCTGCCACTTTCCTACACAATTGATTGGTGTGTATGCTATTTGAGCATTTCTGGAAGACAGTTGGGCAATACTATCAAAGGATAAATGGATGCTTACCTTTTAACTCATCAGTCTGCTTCTGGAATCCTTACAGAAATACATGGGTGTACAAAATCATAATATACAATGATATTTTACTTCAACATTATTTATAGTAGCAAAAATTTGGAAACTATATTAATATCCATCAATAGAGGAATGGATAAGATAAATATGATAAATTCTTGGTATCATACAACTGTTAAAAAGAATGGGATAGGTTTTTGTTATTGACATGAATAGTCACCAAGATATATTAAGTGAAAACAGCAATTTGTGAATAATAGTATGGCCCCACTTGTGTTGGAGGTGAAAAGTGTATATTTAGGCATTTAAATGCATCAGAAAAAGTCTGGAATGATACACAACAAGTTGTCATGGTGATTAACTCTGGGGAGGGAAATAGGATTATAGGCATGAGGGGGTGATGAAAGGGTAAAATCACGTTTTACTCTTTGTGCCTCTATGTCTTTACTATTGTTTGAATTTTTTTTATAATGAACATATATATGTATGTGTTTATATATAAATCTGCTCCAGGATGCTGTCCTCTTCCATAATACCATTTACTACAACCTCTTATATGGAAACATCAATGCTTCACCCGAGGAAGTATATGCAGTGGCAAGATTAGCTGGACTCCATGATGCAATTCTTCGAATGCCATATGGATATGACACCCAAGTAGGGGAACGAGGACTCAAGCTTTCAGGTAATCAAAGATTTTAGACCTGACCCCCGCTTACATACTTCCTTCAAACTTTTATTTGTCAGAGCCATTTTGTAGAAGGTGTAAAGACAGAGTACAAACCTAGTGCTCATTCAGTCACTTTAGACAAAGTCCCCGGTCTCCTGTCCATCAGTGTAAATAATTTGACGTGCCTAGAAGTAACTGTTCTCAAATCATGCAAGTCTCTTTTTTTCAGTTGTAGCTGCAAACACTGTAAGTACTTAATAGTAAGTTACTGATACATGCTCAGATCAGTGTTAATTTATCAGCCATAATCTTACTATTAAAGGAAAGCCAAGATTATTATTCACATGGCAAAGTAGTAAGAGTAGGGAGAATTTTCTAGTAAATAGTGTATCTTCTCATAATTTCCTAGATCATTATGGGATGTTTTCAATAATTTAGACCTCCTTACAATTGATATACCTAACTGCTGTACTTTCCTTACAGCCAACTTCATTTTCATGTCCTTGTTGGTTCAGTGGCCAAGTAAATTTTAGAGTTTGTACATTTTAATTTGAGTGTTTAATTATGAAATTCCTAGGTTTAATAATGAATTATCCTAAAATGAGTGAATTTTTAGATGATCCATAAAAATGTTTGTTTGCCCCAAATGATTTGAATTCCAAAAGTATAAAGATATCTGATGCCTGAAAGTATTAATGTAACTCATATAAACATACTGCATCCTTTTCATTTACTCTTCATTCTGATTTAGTTTGGGGAGGAAATCTATAGATTAGGTATGGGGGTAAAGAAAAAGAGAATGAAGATTACTCTGATTGAACTTTAGTAAATCCCTGTTTCTCTTCAAACTGCCTTCCTTTATTCACAGCATTGATTTAGGTACATACTGTGTGCAGGCTACTATGTTAAATGATTTGAGAGTTAAAAAAGATGAAGCATAAAGGGACCTCCTCTCTAGGAATTTTCTGTCTATTAGAAAGTTTTGATCTAGGCTTAGAAAACGTTAAGCAAAGATTATTTTCAAATTAAGTTGGTTTGTGGTAGCTGTTTGGTCATTACCTGGTAGTATAAAATGCCTGCATCATTCCAGTCCACCTTTATACTTTACCATTGCTCTTCACAGGAGTAGTTTCCAACTAACTAGTCCACACCTCAGATTATTTATCCATTTGGCTAATTCTAGAGTTTCTCTATTGGTCACATAATATAGATAAGACCTCTCAAAACATGATTTTGCTTCAGATAGCTATGCTGCATCCCATTTTCCAATTGTTATTTTCCTCTCTGTATGCCTTTGAAGGTAGGAGTGGTTAAGGAAAATTTATTCTTACCTGATACCTGTTTCCTTTCAACCAGACCTCTTAAGACCAGCAATGTATAATTTAGCTTCTATGCTAATAATTTCAGTAGAGAACAAGCAAATGTTTCTTCTCCAAGTTCTAAAATTCTATTGAATAGAATTGAAACTGGATTGGTTTCCACTAGAAATTTGGGAAACATGTGAAAACTGGTTCTCCCTCTGAGTATACACTTCTTTTAGAGCTTTCTGCTCCTGCATTGCTAGGTAGGTAAGCAGATATTTCTAGCACAGTGCCTGCCTTGATAGGAGAAATTTGAATTTATGAAATGAGGAAGAGTGTGGATAGTATGCATATAAACTCATTCACTAATATTAGACATAAGGAGCCCCCCTGACAGGTTGAAGGTAATAATTGCAGAGCAGATATAAATGAAATAATACTTGGTGTACCAGATAATCAACAGGTAGAGATTGTTGCCTGAAGAGGTTACTGATGCTGAAAAATACAGATTTTTTCGGACATTGATAAATTAATGGATAACAGACAAGAAAAGATGCCAAAAGGGACATATTCAGCAAAACACCATCTTCGGTACTTCCAACCATAGTTTTATGTAAGATTGATGACCTTAGACCTGCAAGAGTCCTGGTGAAGAAAGATTGCTTTATGTTCTCTAGAGTATATTTAGGAATAATTGTGGGCTTGTACATTGTGAAAGGAAGAGCATTGAACTGGGCATTAGTCAGGTCTACTCCAGATTCCTCTGGAACTTGCTCTGTGACCTTGAGCAAATCAGTTAACCTTTGTGGGTCTCTGTTTCCTCTCTGTTTTAAAATTTTGCTATGCCAAAGACCCATAGCAAATAACTAAGGTGAAATAAGAGGTTCCTGTATATAGCCTTAACTTTGAAGAGTGCTGTGAAAATAATAGCTTATGTCAAGAAAAACAAATCTTTGCGAATACTGGCTGAATGTTACTTTTTATGTTAAGAGATAAATTTAGATATTCATAGTTTAATGTCTTCAAGTTTTCAGGCTTTAGATGTTGAATTTGTTTTTGGCTTTGTTGATTCTCTAATACTGAAAATTTTTTTATCTGAGGTTGCTGCTCATTGGGAAGTAATATAAAGTACATGTAAAGTAACATATGTAATGAGCATATTTCTGGTGAGGAGAATAAATGTGGAATCAAAATTGTTACCTCCCCTCCTCATTCTTTTTGCCTGCCATGAAGTCAGAATCCAGAATTACATTTATGTTCTAGGGAGTATGGTTTGTCAAAGGATATCATATATGAACTTAAGACTTATAACGGAGTAAAATGAACAGGAATCAGGAGTAAAGGTAAACGTTGAAAGTATTACTTGGTTTATAATCAGTGGAAATACTAGAAACATAAATTATGTATTTATGTTATGCTTTCTTAAACTGAAAATTTTCTTTACCAGGAGGAGAAAAGCAAAGAGTAGCAATCGCAAGAGCCATTTTGAAAGACCCCCCAGTCATTCTCTATGATGAAGCCACTTCATCATTAGATTCAATTACTGAAGAGGTAAATAATGATGAAAACATAAAACTCTTCAACATTGCTTAACTTTTTTCTTTGGAAGTGTCAGTAAAATGACTATATTCACCTCATCTGTTGACAAAAGAAGAAGGTTTTAGTCTTTCTGCTTTTACCACTTAACACTTACTGAAACAGATCATGTAAATGTTTGTGTGCACATCAGAAAACCTTTCCCTTATCATGGAGCAACTCACTAAGGTGCAGATCAGGCACACACAGCCTGCAGTGCTGGTATCAATTTATATTCATTTCACAAGTATTGTAGCACTAAGATGTCATGACAGTGATGTTGTGGTACTACCCAGCAACTACATTAGACTTCATAACATCTTGGTATTAAATACCAAAGTCTTAATAGCAATCATAACTTCATGAACAAATCCCCTTAATGTAGAACTAAAGATCGGTTGGTGTTGTCAGTTGCCTCCATTCACCTATATTTTACTTGAATATATAGTAAAAACCTATTATTGAAAGATAGGCCTAATTTTGATATACAGCAGGTATGACATATATTTGCATACAGAGTTAAGTTTCAGGGCATACTGTTTGATCTGCCATGTGTTTGAAATAGTTTAATTTCTAAGTGAATTGTTTAGCATGAGAATTTTTTATATTTAAAGGGAACCTTAAGCTGCACCAGACTCCATTTGTAGGCAGAATAGGAATCTGCTTACAAGAACTTTATACCCAAAGATGCGTCATCCACATTTATGACAAACTAAAAGTCCTAACAGCAGTCATTATTTGAGTCACATATCTTTATTATCTCACAGAGCATAACCCATTCATTGCCAGCAAAGAAACACCCCCTCCCAAGGGAATGAGTTACCAGAAGATTTAGTAGGTTTTAATGGACCATTTTAAAAGGTTCAGAGCATCAGTAGAATGTCAGTTTAAGTTCTTGAGAGTAAGGAAGAAGAGTCCCCACAAACATCACAGTTTTTCTTAGAATTGGCCCTGCACTTGATTTTCAGTCTGCCCTAGAAAATAAACAGTCTTCTTTTCCTGGGTAACCACCTATTCCTGATAATTTTATTCCTTTAATAAATACAATGTTTAGAAATAACTGTCGGAAGCCATTAGGTATATCCCCATCCCCCACGCTGCTATTTCCATCTAGCTAGCTGTACTTAGACTAAGGTTTCCAAGTATAGCTGAATATATATACAACTCTCTTACATTTTACAGGCAGTAAACAAAAATGTATTTTCTAGAATGCCTTAAAAAGTCAGAATGCTTTTGAAAAAGAAGTTTCCTCAAGTTAAACATGCACAGTTAGTTGTCTTTGTTGCCGTTCCTGTCCTCTGAGTTTGAACTAAGGAAAAGCAAATGCTCCTGTACCCTTTGCATCTCCTGTCTTTTCTTGATTTTTTTAAATTTTCTGCATCCTATCACTTGAGTCCCTCCTCATTTTATTTTTGCTTTCATTGGCCAGGTAAACTTCGTATCTGGCAATGCTCTTGATATCAGTGGATTCATCATCGGTATTTATTTGTTTGCTTTTAGGTATAGAAAATATCCATCTTCTCCCAAACTTTGTAATTTGAAGAAATGTTGCCTATCTTAAAGCTATTTTTTTCCATGATAATGTGGTCATATTTCCCTTCCCTTTTTGACTGATTTTCTTCTCTTCTTTGTAATTATTAGATTAGGTAAAATATTTGGTAGTGGTATAAAATTTATATAATATAAAATTAACTGGCATTTTATTTATTCTTTTCAGAAATGTATGATTATTTTAATTTACATTTACCTAATAGATAGATATTTTTTTCCTTCCTACTATTGTTGTCAAACTTGCAGACTATTCTTGGTGCCATGAGGGATGCAGTCAAGCACAGAACTTCTATTTTCATTGCACACAGATTGTCAACAGTGGTTGATGCAGATGAAATCATTGTCTTGGACCAGGTAAGAGATTTAATGTTAAAGTTTAGTAATTGAATAACATTAGAAATTGTTACAAACACAAGCAACTTAAATAAACAGAATTTGTGTTCTTTGAATAAGATTGAATCCTGCTAGGATTCCGCTTTTACCTCCTTTTGATAAGAAATAATACATGCCACTTTCAAAAATGAATAAACTGTATTAACTCACTCTTCATTATTAAAGTTTTAAAAGCAAAGTTAGATGAGGAAAACATTAAATACTTCATATGATAGAAACAGTTTTAAAGAGTATGTATATAAAATAATTTTTCTGCATTCATTTTTGCTCTGTACAGAATCTTTGCTCAGTGTCTTTGCCATATTTTATATTTAAATTTTTCTAATACCTACACATACCATTGATGCCTAAAGGAAAATTACCATAAAATGAAGTGGTCATTGTCAAACATGGCTATTTTTATTTGATCTTTTTCCTCATGAGGAAAGTAAGGAAAAGGGCAACCTACTTTATTTCTTCTGAGGAAATTACTTTAAGAATGTACTATCTAAATGTTCTGAACATATCAGAGTGCCACTGTTGTGATTGGTAAATTTGAAAATTGTAATAGTTTTTCTTTTCCCCTCTCTGTAAGGATATCATATCCCCACCCGCTTAGTATTTGATTTTTTCTAACAGTGTTTAGTTTTTCACCTCCCATTCAGCCTTTTCTATGATTATTTTTCCCTTCTAATAAATAAACCTTCACTTCTTTATCCTTTTGAAAGCCTTAGTACTGGGAGTTAATAGAGAAGAAGCATTCTCTTATACTCTCTATATTGAGATAGAATTCTTAATGCCACTAAAATTTTTCATAGGATGTTCAGCTCTGTAGTATATATTTTATTTCCTTTATACATTACCTATGCACTTGAGGCCCTAGGTCTTTTTGTTGGTTTGTTAATAAATGCTAACATTCATTAAAAAAACAGATTTTTTCAGTATAACTGTTCCAGAATGTCTTAAATGGGAAATTTTGTAAATATATTTTGTTATCTCGTTGCTGTTCAAGAATCTGAAATAAAACCTGCTCTTTTGTACTTTTTACTGAACTTTCCAATTGTACATATAGCCTTTTCTTATAAAGTGTTAAAGTACTTTAACAGGCATGTGCTTACCTGCCTCATGCCAGGAGGTTCACCGTATCCATATAGTTATATCTTAATATTGTCACTTGGGGTTTGGATTGATCATATCATTTGTATCTAAAATCTCTTTATGTTTATAATTTGTTGGTTCTGTAATTTCTTGATTATGAAGATTAGAGATTTTTATTTTCTAGTGAAACTAATATAGCCTCATGTGTTCTGTCACCAGTCCCTTGTAGTATTAATATTAAGTCTACATAAGAAATAGAGTTCCCAAGGCCCTTCCTCACCTGCTGCAACCTGGTAATTGCCCCTTCCCAGTCTTGGCAAGAGATTGGAGGTTTGCATGTCAGAAAATTGAATCAGACAGGCTCTGGACACAAGAAAATTACCAGACACATTAACAAAGAGGAGTGAGATTAACTGGAAATCAAAACATACTAAAGGATAAGATTACAGACCCTCTCTCGCCCCTGGCCCTAAGAACCTTGCCAACCAATTATTTCTCCTGTTACCAATCCTTCCCTTATCAGCAGATAGAGGATTCTTCTCTGGAGAAACAAAAGTAGCTGCATTAAAAAAGATATTTGTATAATAAAAAAAGGTATTCATATTTGGTGGCTCCAATAAAATAACCAGGCACCCATGTGATCATCCTATAATGAAATCCAACAGTTGAGACCCCTACTCCCATGCACATAGAGCTTCCAGTCAGCTTTTTAATACTGTATTCTTAAGTGTCAGTGGATAATAAAGGAAGACTTCTAAAACAGGCAGGAAAAAACAATAAAAACTGTAGACAATGTAGAGAGCAAAACAAAACTTAAAAATTAGTATCATCAGAGGTCTTGGAAAATAAAGCATTTCTATAATAAGGAAAAATACTGTTAAAAAAATAAAGAAGACTTACATGGCATGAGTTCTATGATGTTGTTAAGTGAAAGAAAGAAAGATGCAAAAGAATAAATAGTATGCTACCTTTTGCAAGGAGTATGGCCGGGGGGGGAACATACATATATTTACTTATTTCTGCAAAAAGAAACTGAGAGGATAAACCAGAAACTAAAGGCATTGGTTACCTACAGGATGGGGATAAAAAGGGGCCGAGGACATAGGGGAGGAAATAAGACTTTCCTGATTATACTTTTTTGTATTATTTTTACTTTTGAACCATGCTACTGTTTTTATATATTCAAAAAATTTAAAATCAACAAGGATGGGGGAAAACAGAAATTGAATACAAACAGAAAAAAGTTAAGCCAACTGCATAACAAATCGATAACATAACAGTGCAGAATAAAAATGGAATTAACCCAAGTAACCTTTGAACACATTTCTCTGATTATTTACCCTTGGTGGAATAGATTATAAGGATAAAAATAACTAAAAGAAAATTTGAACTTCGTAAGTTTGTTGTTGGTAATAGCATGGGAGTAGCTGTTTTGAAACTATTTTGTGTATATTATAAGACTGAGCATATGAGTAAATATATAGATGTTTTTGAGAAATAGTGGTCTTACTTGGGAGAAGAAAGATACAAATATGGAATAAGAGAAGAAGAGGAACCTTGTAATGTTATATTGGAACAGAATTATCAATATGAGTTCATGATGAAAAAGAAAGAGTTCCTAACTCTGTTCAGTGAAAAAAAAAAGCATATGAAATCCCAGTAGCAATGAGATCTTGGACACTAAATATTGTCCCTTACTAAAAGTAACTAAGACTTCTTGGAGAATGATTGACTCCATATCTGGAGCAGGAAAGTTAATGAAGACATATCACCAGGACACAGGAGCCATTTTGAATGATTTCCCACTGGCCAAATGTGGGATAATTTGAACATCTAAAAGAATAACATTACTAATGAATTACAACACATTGAATAAAAAACTAATGTATAATTCCATAATGGTACTTTTTTTAAAGTATCATGGAGAAAGGGAAAGCTCTTCTTTAAGAATGAAATCTTACCATTTACAGCAACATGGAGATACACCTTATGCTAAGTGAAATAAGTCAGACAGAGAAAAATGCCATATGATTTTATTTATATATGGAATCTAAAAAAAAGAACAAATGAACAAACAAAACAAAACAGAAACATACTCAGAGGTACAGAGAACAAACTGGTGGTTGCCAGAGGGGAGAGGGTGGGGAGGATGGATGAAATAGGTGAAGAGTATTAAAAGATACAAACTAAGTCACAGGGATGTAATGTACACAAAGGGAATATAGTCAATAATAACAACACCTTTGTATGACGATGGGTGATAATTGGTCTTATTGAAGTAATCATTTCATAATGCATAAAAATAATGAATCACTGCATTGTATACCTGAAACTAATATAATATTGTATGTTAATTATAACTCAATAAAAAAGAGTGCCAACTAACACATGTAGAATGAATGACAAATTTAGAAAGTCATATTTTGCAACCACCATTGTAATAATTGATTCAGATAAGGATCATCATTAGTTGCTAAAACCATATGGTGAAAAACTATTAGGGAATAATTTGAAAGGATAGCCCATAGATTACTTATTCATTGCAAAGAGAAAAAGTACCTTTAAAATAGAGAAATTTGGTAGACATTACTGTTAACCAAGTGATCAAACTTAGTATCATTAATTGTGGAGCAGAACTGATATGTTCCTCCTAATATGATGCACTGACGAAACATCATCTATATTGTATTTCTACCAAAAATGTTTAGCCTGTATCTAATTATCAGGAACAACTAGACAAAAACAACTTGAAAGGCATTCTTTAAAAAGCAAGCCTGGACATTATAGAAATGTCAGTGTCACACAAACTCATACAGATTAGGAAAGTTATAAATTTAGTGTGTTGATCCTGATTGATCCTGAATGGGAAAAAATACATATATATAAAGGATATTATTGGGATAGTTAGTGAAATATGAATATGGACTATATATTAGATACTTTTCTTGGGTATGATATAGTTGTATTCTAGTCATGTGGGAGAATGTCCTTGTTTTCAGGAATACATGCTAATGAAATATGTAGGGATGAAATGAATGATGTCTGCAACTCATTCTTAAATGATTTAGCAGAAAGTAATGTGAATTTAGAGATAGGATGAAGTGAGAGAAAGCAAATGTGGAAAAATTAATAACAGTTGCTAACCTAGGAGGAGTGTATATAGGTGTTCATTGTTACCATTCGTGCAACATTTCAAATTTAAAATGAAGGTGGTAAGGGGAGGGAAATAGCTCAGTAGTAAAGCACATACTTAGCATGCATGAGGTCCTGGTTTCAATCCCCAGTTCCTCTAATTTAAAAAAAAAAAAGCCAGTAAAATGGGGGCTGAAATAAAGGACCAACCAGAGAACAAGAGATTTTTTTAACATTTTTTATTGATTTATAATCATTTTACAATGTTGT